TATTTTTGATATTCATTAAACTATATGGTAATATTGTAAAAGAGAATATGAAATAATTTTCAGTTCTAATATAAATACAGGTATTCCTTGTACAACACAGCATTCCTACAACATGGTTTTGCTCTAGCACGGTTTGAGAATTGGAGATATCCCCTGTATGAGACAGTTTTGCTTTAACACAGTTTGAGAACATCCCCAGAGAAAACATTGCAATTTTTAAGTGCAAACCCCATCATTCAATATTTTTTTTTAATTAAAGCATGTGTGTTGTCTTATATTTGCTCACAGATTTCAGAATAATAAATTTTCAATGTTATTTCATGCCTTTTGCCCTGTTTTCTTTAATGCAAACTGATTGTGCAATTTTTCTCTTCCTTGTCTAAGCTTTCTTATAAATCAAATATTGCTGTCATTGGTGACAGTGCTCTAAATAAATCTGAAATGGCTGTTGCTGTGCTTTGTTTTATAGATTAAATTAAAATTTACTACATAATGAGCAATTATTTATTGTAACATCATCACAATGCTCATATGAAACTTTTAATTTATTTAATTTAAAATACAGGGTGTTTCCAAACAAATCATCTGATTTAAAATGATTATATTATGAAAAGTAATAAAGATACACACTTAAGATTAATTTTATATTACAGGGCTAATCTTCAAATCTTTTTACATACTAAATCATACGTGCTCAATATGCCCCACTTTGAATGCATGGCATATGTCCTAACAGTAGTGAAATTTGTCCCAAATTTTTCATGTCTGGATCCACTGCTGTCACCACTGCTGTTATGCAGTTTTGCAGTTTGACCACTGTAGCTGAAAGAGGAGGCACATAAATGGAGTCTTTTATAAACCCCACAAGAAAAAAATCACAAACAGTGAAGTCCAGCAGCCTAGAAGGACAGTTATGTAAAGCTGAATCATTAGGTCATATATGGTCGATCCATCGTTGAGGAATCTGTGAATTCAAAACTTCTTGAACTTCCAGGCTCCAGTGTGGTAGTGCCCCATCCTGCTGGAAAATGAAGTCATCCAAATCAGTCTTTAACTGTGAGAAAAACCAGTTTTCAAGCATATCAAGATATGTGATTCCCAAAAATATGGAAGTGACAGGTACACAAAGCACATGGGTGCTTCCAATCAGCAACTGCATAAAACTTGAGAATTTCCTCTTTCTAACAATACATCGTTCAATCAAAATGTATTAAAAGCTGAATAGTTATGATTTTTTTTAAATCGAATAATTCTTTTTGAAACACCCTGTATATTCTCTCCACCCCAAATTAGTAGTGAAATTTCCCTGTACATCATACTTTTCCTTTAACAATATAGTTGTGCCAGTCATCTATATAACACCTTTCAGGAAAAAATTTGTAAATTAAAATAACACTACTTCCAGTTTGCATTGGAAGTTCTTATATAGTTAATCAGAGCCTCCTGTCCCTAAGATTTCCATATCTGATCTCATCTTCCATCTATCTAACTCTGATCTTGAGATTAAGGAAAGACAGACAGATGGATGGACAACAGTGGGAGTTTATAAGTCTATAACTTTTCAAATTGCAGCCCAAAGAGATGGCAAATGAGAGCAAAAGAGAGGCAAATGCAAGCAAATGAAAATATCACATTTTATAAGAAAAATCAAGATGTTGCTGATAATTAAGATTAAGATCAACAGAAAAGCTTAAAAGATGATGATATTTTGCCAAAAAGAAAATATCCTCTTTTAATAGTGTTTAGCAGTGAAGAAAATGATTAATACAGTATTAACATGCAATACTTTTGACTGTGATTGTTAGTTAAATAAATTAATTGCTTTAGTAAACATACTATATTTCTCTTAATTATGAAAAAGAATAGTATACCTTTGCTAACTTTTGGAACTTAACCATATGTTTTGTATAGCATTGATTCACATAACACAGCACTTTTATGGAACCTAACTACCATGTTATATGGGGGATAATTGTAAGATTTAATTATTCATAATTTCATTTATACTTTTAGACATGTTAACAAATGAGATGAGATATTATAAATAAAAATTTAAATTTCTAAATTCATTATTGCAAATTAAAGAAATATATTTTTGAGAGTTAATTTTCTGATTAAAATTTAACTTATACATGAAATTTAAATAATGACTACAATCCAAAAAGTCTTGTTTTATAAGAACAAGTGAAAAAAGTATACAAATTAACTGAAATGATAAAATAATTATAATGAAAGATAAATTCAAAAATTTATATTATTTTGTTTATCCTCACTTTAGTGTCTTGTTAGATTTTGTATTTTCATATGTAAATTTATATGTATTCTTTTATTAAACCCACTGCTTCATTCTTTCATACTTTTGTAGCTATTACTTAATGTATAATCCAAACCTCACAGACAAAAGAAATGTTTCAGTCTCCTGTCTTAGCAAAATGAAGTTTGGGTTGTTATTCTAGAAGCACTGTCTATTATTGTCTTTATTCTTGGGTCATTTAAAATTCTATATCAAAAGTCTTTTTAATCCATATATAAAATAAAAACATTTATTCAAGGAAGCACAATAAATTTTAAATTTTGGTTTTGATATGGATTCTGTATGTATATTTTATAAAAAAAACATAAATATTATAATGTATATATATATATATTGTTTTTCTATTCTATATTTACAATTTAAGTTATTTAAGTTCTAATATCAACATCTAAATCATTTGCTTTTCAATTTGTTCAATTCTATCAGAAGAAAATAAATATTTATTATGAACAAAGTTATCAAAAGCTGTCCTTTAAATAGATAATTCTCTTTTCCTCCAATCTAATAGATTGTTTGCTTTTATACAAATACAGTATCTCATTTCCTTTAAATTCAATATACATATTTTAAATTTTAAAAAAATGCATATTGAAAAATTAATTTCTAAAGAAATTTAAAATCTTTGGAGCAAGAAATCATATCAGTAATAGTAAAATATATATTTTACAAGCATTTTTGTCCATTATAATCAACATTTTCATAATTTAATAGCAAATTCATAAGCAAATTTTTATGCTTTTAAATAAATACTCGTAATTGTTGGTATCCAAACGAAACAGTTATAGTCTATTTAACTGTTAACATGATACCAAGTCTCGTTAACTTCAAAAAATTGGTTTTAATATTTTTTTCAATATGTTTTTGTATGTCTCACTATTATGTGAACTGTTTATTATTTAAATGAATATTTTAACATTGTTTTACCCAAAGATTCTAAAAAAGTTTTGTTCAAATTTCAATGTTCATAAATTATTTTCTGAATAAACTGCATTATCATACTATATGATATTATCATCTGACCAGTTTAAAAACTATCTACAACTTAATAAAAAAAAACCGGACCATCTAATAATACACTAAAAAAAATATACACACATATGTACGCTTTATTTTAATTTTTTTTTTTTTTTGTCTTACTGGCAGATTCTTGGATATTGTAATTAGCCAAACTAAGTCAACATCATTTTTTGTTTTATTTACGTGAAATTTTCCAAAACATTTATTAGAAAAAAATGGTTATAATTGCAATATTACTGGGTGCATCAAATAAACTTTTATTGTGGTTTGCCGGAAAGTGTATTATTTAGTTACAGAATATATATCCTGAAACCTGTAATAATCTAGAAATTTGCATATTCAGACGTCCCACCTGTCTGTCCACGTGTTACTTTTTAACGCGTCTCTGTATGGCATCCGAAGCACCTTTTACCGAAATTAATTAGGTCCTCCAAACTTCCAATTAAATTATTCTTGAGAATTTAAATTATTAACTATCTAAAATTAAAATTAAGTTATGAAAGTTATTACTGTTTGACTCTAAAAATGATTTTGAAAATTTCTCTTTATTTTCAGAATATTGATGTTTTCTTATTTAAATTTTCATAAAATAAAAAAACATATAGTAAAATGTATTAAAAATGGAGAAAGATTTTTTTGAAAATATTGTAGAATTAAAATACTTAAAACAATTTCTATAATATTGGTTTATTTTTCTATTATATTTTATAAAATTTAAACATAATTAGATGATAATTAATCATCATAATACATACAATATGATATTTTTGAACAAAATATATTTTATAAAGCCACATCAACTTGAGCTATTTTCCTGCAAGTATAATTTTAATTACTAATTAATTTGTCCTTTGTATGCCATCTTGTATTAAATTTAATAATTATAATTTAATTAATTAAATAATTTTAGAATATTCCGGAAGAAAGAATTGACCCAGAGCAGGACTCGAACCCACAACTTCTGCTTGCTATTAGAGTAGCATAATTGGCAACACATCCGAATGGCAAGCGGGAGTTGCAGATTTGAGGCCCACTTGCCTTTTATATTTAATATTCTGGAAGAAAATTCCAGAATATTCTAAAATCATTTAATTAATTAAATTATAATTATTAAATTTAATATGAGATGACACCTAATGCCTCTCTGAAAGACAAATTAATTAGTATTTAAAATTATAATTACTGGAAAATAGCCCAATCTTATACAGCAGTTGGTGTGGCTTTATACTAATGAACTGGGTTTTGAGAGATGTTGATATATGAAAATATATCTTTCTTGTTTATTAGATTTAATAGTTATTCTCTGTTTTGTAACTAACAGAGGACAATAATATATTCTTATGGTAAACTGTTAAAAATATTTATTGTATTATGAGTTTATTCTTGATAATAATAATTCCACACTTATATTTAAAATAATATTTACATATAATAAGCTGGTGGTCAAATGTATTAAAATATTGTTTTTAATCAAATTGTTACAAGTATTTATGCTCAAATTAGGCTTCATTCTGGTTTAAGCATAGGTATTTGTGATCATTAATTAAATTTTAATGGAAATTATTATATATTTAGGAGTTTCCAAAACTACTGATGTGTAATTGAACAGTTAAATTAGTCAATAATAAAATTAGATAGTAATATTGAATAAGTTATATTATATACTCACATCCATCTTTACTATCACTAATAGTCTGCTGAAGAAATTTATCACGTAAAAGGTTAGAATCACTAAAATAAAATTCCATCTGTAAAATAAATGTAAATGTTTCAATTTGCAAATTAAAGACTTTTTAAAATTAACATTTTATAAAAATTTTTCAAATGAAAGATATGCTTATAATTACATTCTATGTTTTATACATATTTCTTTTACAGAAAATAAAATATAAGAGTATAAATCAATTTAAAATATGAATTCAAGACTGACTGATGTATGAAAGATTAAATTTTATTAATTAATTAATGAAGTTAAATATATAATGGTTTTGGTTAACGTTTAAAAATATCATTTTAAAAGTTTTGATAAATATTAAAGTAACAAGATGATGGTGAAATATAGCTAAGAATATTTAAACTTTTAAGTTATTTAGAATTACCTGAAAATATGTAAATTTAATATTGTCTATTTAAAAGAATTTGCAACTGTGATAATGAGAAAAAAGATTCTAAAAGTTTATAAAGTTTTGTCTATTTAGAGTGGTTATTTTAATAAAGTATAAAATTTTCTTGTTACTTTGAGTTTTAACTAAAATTTGGAAAAGATTTTCTTCAAATAAGAAATATAAATATCTCATAATTTAATGGTTTATTTGTAGAAATTAAATAAAATATTGATTTATACAGATCCAAATTTAAAGTACATTTAAAATTTTTGGTGTAGTTAATTGTAAAGTGACAAAATTTGAGTTTTTTTTATTACTATAAAGCATCAAATGATAATCAAGACTCTCTGAAATGTTAAACATTTTTATTTCAAATGTTTAAAAATCAAAATAATGTTGGCAATATTCTTTGGTGGCAGTTGAATAACTCACCTGAAATTTGTTCAATCAAATCAGATAATGAATAAAAATTATTATTTACAGAATGTAAAATTTTTTGGTTGAAATACATTCATTGAATAACACCTTAGTTTTAGTAAAAATGAGATTAATATCCATTGCATGATGATTAAAAACATTTTGCAAATTGTCAAATGCAACTAATCCCTATTTTTCTAACTCTATTCTTACTAAGGTGGCATTTGCAGGCTTAGTAAAAGAGCATTCACACACAGTTCCAACATAATGGACTTGAAAAATTCAGGTGCTTGAGTATATTAAGCAAAATGCAAAGAAGCATGGATACCCCATAAGCACGATCAACGGATTAGTTAAAATATTAGAACACCCTCCCATACATACAAGATGATGATGGTATTCATAACAATCAAGTACAACACATCCTAAAAAACCGTCTAAGGAAATAGCTTCTGCCAATCAATTCAAGATTGGATGGATATAGAAAGAACCCCACAGTATATAGCCTCATCAGGAATGGAAACAGTCCTCCTAATAGGAAATACATCTGAAGGATTTATTCTATCCCCATCAAGGACTATAGGTTCAATGTGGAGTGGGAGTACATTGATGCAACAGCACACTCATCATCATGAAAATTAAAGAACATGAAGCAAGTAAAAGGAAAAAATGGCTGACTACTGCCCTAATGGTGTTTATGATGGAAAATAACATTGAGCTTAACCTAAGTAAAGTGAAGATCATAAAACCTGTTTGGGATGCCACATACTTAAAGCATTTAGAAAGACTAAAATTTACAAATACCCCTTAAATCCAAACAAAGAATCCATCTCAAATGCATGTAAATCCTTCTATGAAATACTGTAAAAATATGGGGAACCCCATCAACTGCATACATTTGTTGGTTTTTTGTTTGGCCTACACAAGACATGCCCCTAATATTAAATTCCAGTAAATGGATACTTGTAATTTTATAATAATTATTATTTGTAAATCTACAGGGTCCGAAAGTCTTGCCATTTTCATAAGTTTGCTTTAAATTGTACTGTACATTTATATTTGATCATTCGTTTCATTTGGCCGACACAAGCTTCTACAGTGTGAAAGAACTAGTCACTGCCAGTGTAGGTTCATGAACGTTCACAGACTGAAATCAGCATAAAGCCAGATCATTTTGCGCCACGAAAAATGGCTGTGCTCATAATGATCTTCTGGATGCATAAACAACAATATAACAAAATACATAGTAAATACAGTATAGCCACTCAGTGCATTACCTTATATTCAGGGTATGAAGAGACCTTCGGACCATCCTGCACAGGTTACCTGGCGTAGTTTGGCTCATAAATCTTTCTGCCAATAACACAAACTATTCTATTCTATTCTGATTTAAAAAAACTCTCCAATTCATCTAATACAGCTTCAAATTATTGTATATTTAGATCATGTCATATGTGAATTATTATGGAATACAAAAAATGATGCAAAATTTGCATTATAATTGAATCTGCAAACTGATTATACTGACATTCGAATCGCAATCGCTAGCGATTTGTGTTCCGTGTGAAAGCAACATATACATTCTACTTTCACACGGCAACAAAACAAAAGGAATAGCAAAGATTTATTTATAACTCTTCCATTGTTTGGCATACAATTTACATTTTATTTGCATTAATATGTCGTTTTTAAATTAAAATATTATTTATCCATAATGCGACATCAGCGACATGTCGAGTGGAATTAAAATTTAAAAGCATAATTTTAAAACAGTTTTGTTTNTAAGGAATTTAAAAAAAAATGAAACTATTGTAAGATAAGATTTTATATGTAGTTCAATAAAATTAATGATTTATTCTTCCTATTTAAAAATAATTATAATCCACATTATTCTTTCAATATTATTTCATTATCATTATTTATTGAACTTTCATAAAATGATTTAAACTTTGAATTTGCTGTATCTATAAGTAATTTATTTCATAAATCTTTGTGAAAATGATGCTTGGAATAGTTTATATATGCTGGCTAAAATAAGCATGTAGAAGCCAAATGTTAAAAATAAAACCTAAAATTTTACTTAATTTTGCAAGCTGTTATATTCTAAATCTTTTGAAACATATTTCATTGTAAAAAACTTCTATATTTATCAGAATGTAATGTAAATATATCAATTAACATTTCAATGTTTTCAAATGTAACTGTTCTACACATGGTGGTCCTAAAGTCCTCAGAGTTTTATTCTTCGATGACTAAGACATACAAATGCTATAACTAACACAGACAAATTCAAATATTGCTCAAAAATGACCAGAGGACCAAAGTGATATCTGCTTACTACTTCAAGGGATCCAATTTGAATTTAGATCATAATCCGAAGCACTTTAATGATTTGTCTGCTTATCTGATATAATCAATTTTGATCCATTCTTCACTATCCAAATGATCCCACTATAGTCAGACCTAACCGTAATAAGCAAAACTGGAGCTGATCATATAATTCATAGTTAATACTTTACAGCAGCAACAGTTAATACTACTACAGCAAGCTTATAGATACAAGCCGAAAGCAACCTTCATACACTTCCAGCAGACGACGTGTGTTTTCTCTTAAGGAGTTGCAGGCTTTAAGCATAATGAATACCAACGTGTTCCATAACCAAATTTTCGACTTTCAGTCTAACTAAAAGTAACCACAGACAATAAATTAATTGGGTAAAAAATTACATTAATTTTAATGTAAATGGAAGTGGAATCAATCTCATTACTGTTTAAATATATTTAAGAGTGTCTGATTTTAAATTTATAAGAATATTTTAAAATATTTACACCGAAAAATTCCCATAAATGAAAAATAATTAATTTTAAGATGAATTTGTAGTTAGCAGACCTGTTCTCTAATAGCTTTATAAAGATTCGTCGTCCTCCTTCTTATTTTCTTTTCTGCTTTTATTTCTCCTTCTTCGCAAATTTGTTCTTCACACTTCATTTTTATTAATAAGAAATAAAACACGAAACAAATAAACCGCGACGAAGTCACATACGAAGTCGAGTCTTGTTTATTTTGATCACTTTAAGTGTTAGTGTTGCCAACTCAATTATTTAAATTAACGTAAGTTTTTTTTAAAATAAAATATTTATGTAATTAATTTAATAAAATTAAATTCTTTATGTAATAAATACACTTAATTAAATATTACGACTCCAGTTATTTATAAAATGTTTAATTTTTTGAACTCGGTGCTGTCTCGATGGTAACTTGCACCTGAGGCGAAAAAGACTTTTGCCAACTTTGCTTCCAGAACGGGTGCGTTCGTTAATAGCGGTCGCTCTGCGTCTCCGCTACTACGGGAGTGCGCTACTGTTTGTAGGCATTTAGGAACGACGGTAAAAGAAAGAAAGATGGCGGCGCTCGCACTATCGATAGTATTGTGGTTGAGGAATCTATAATTCTAAAATATGAGCTTTTAAAAGCAAAAGAAGAGTCCCAATTGTAAAATTTAACCATAAAATGGATTATTTGTTGAAAGAGCATTCAAAATAGCCACGAAAAAAATTAGAATGCCGCAGTGGCGTAGCGTGGGTGTCAGCCGCCCGGGGCGGAAAAAAATTTCGCCGCCCCTTATTTAGTATCTCAATTTAAAAGACTAAAATTCAGTTTTGTCACAGAACAAGCAATGAAAAATTCCGTGCTAGTGCAGCGACCTGATTAAAATAGCTCTATTGGATGTATATGTGAATATGAATGCGGAAGAATCGTGCAAACAGGAAAAAAAATGTCAACAGGTTGCGCAGGATATCCTCGGATGAAATTACTAGTTCACTCGGACGGTGAGCCGATTCCCGAACTGTCCGGACGATAGCACTATCATAGGCGCGACGCAAATATAGATTAGAATGGTTCAAATTTTTACAAGATATTATTATTATTTATTGTGAAATTTTGCCGCCCCTAAAAGGTAATTTTGCCGTCCCCTAAAATGTGCCGCCCGGGGCGGGCCGCCCCCACTACGCTACGCCACTGATTTGTGGTGGCCCTTTCTGACCAAATTGGAAGATGGACTCCAGCAGCTCGCATTTGAGAATGGGCAGCTGGTCATAAAATCAGCACGACATACATCGTTGACAGGTTTTATTTGCCTAATCAAGGCTGTAAAAGCTACATTTGAAGAACTAATAGCATCACCTATACCTCTATTGAAGTATGAAGCAGATATTCATTGTGTTTCATTTACTATTACATAATTTTTGATCTGCATGTTTATTATTTTTTTCAGTTATGTTCTTACATACAAGNTAGAATGGTTCAAATTTTTACAAGATATTATTATTATTTATTGTGAAATTTTGCCGCCCCTAAAAGGTAATTTTGCCGTCCCCTAAAAAGTGCCGCCCGGGGCGAGCCGCCCCCACTACGCTACGCCACTGATTTGTGATGGCCCTTTCTGACCAAATTGGAAGATGGACTCCAGCAGCTCGCATTTGAGAATGGACAGCTGGTCATAAAATCAGCACAACATACATCGTTGACAGATTTTGTTTGCCAAGGCTGTTAATCAAGGCTGTAAAAGCTACATTTGAAGAACTAATAGCATCACCTATACCTTTATTGAAGTATGAAGCAGATATTCATTGTGTTTCATTTACTATTACATAATTTTTGATCTGCATGTTTATTATTTTTTTCAGTTATGTTCTTACATACAAGATCACAAGATTATATTGAATTGTTTTTTGGGTATGATCAGGGCAAAAGATGGATGGAACCAGAACCTCACAACAATCTTGTTTACTGCAGCATACAAGCGTTTGCTTACCCAAATGCAATTTAGAACGAGTGAAAAGACAAATGCAACTCCTCAGAACACACAACAATTCTCAGTGTGGCATCAATAAGTTCTAGATCACATCAACATTTTCACGCCAACAAGATAGTTCTTGGACATGATTTTGAAACATGGGATATGGAAAAGCCTCTTGAAGATGCCATATCAGTGGATGCAGCACTTGAAGATCTTAGATACCATCTATGTTCAGCAGGAGTGCATTTAACAGAATTCTCAATTAATGCTGTAGAGTATACGGCTGGATTTGTGGTCAAGAGTCTTTTAAAGCAGTGTTCCGCAACCTTTTTCTACTTGCGGCACACCCATGACTCAACACGGCACACCAAAATGTTATTCCCCTCAAAAACGTATGATATGATACTATTAATAGAATTACATAATGCCACTAACCTATTATTATTGTTATTAAACAGATACCAACACCTGTGAGCAAATTTTCTTTACATATAATTTATTAGAATACATAAAAATGGGTAGCTTGTAATAAAGAATAAACAAACATCATCTTATTTCATCAGTGTTGCGGCAGAGAATGAAATACATACAAAAGATAACATAAGAAACACAACAACATACATACATAAGAACATGCAACATACATACATAAGAAACACAACAACTGTGATAAAAATATATAAATAAAATTTGAAATTAACAGAATATGTAAAAGTTCACGTCACATCTTTCACCATGTGACGGCACATCAGTGTGCCGCGGCACACCGGTTGCGGAACACTGTTTTAAAGGGTATTTCTTGCATACACTGCAAAAATACCTTGTTTAGTCCTGCAAACACTGCATTAAGACCTTTAATGCAACTAAAGGAAAATCAATAAAAAACTTGGATTTACGAACAATACTAATTTTGACAGTAATGTCAGAAAAAATGGATAAGCATATTCAAATGGCTTAATGTTTTTTATGTTGGATTTAGCCTGTACAATAATTGAATCTCAAATATAGTAATAATAAATTAATGTTCTTTTGTGCTAGCATTTTGTGTTTTAAATGCTTTTTGCTGCGTATATCTTTAAATAAAAAGTATTAAATTTACACTGTTTTAAACTTTTTTATTTAAACTTTTTAATAAAATTTTCAAATGTATTCAAAATTTTTACAAAAGAATAAAATTGACTTTAAGTAATTCGCCTAATAAAATATTTAAAAAGTCGCGTTGACTGCTGACTACCAAATACGGACACCTCCTTTCAGCTCTAAACATGGCCGAACGCACTTTCATCTGGTGGATACACATCCTTTAAGAGAAAGTAGGCTACCGCTGCCCAAGATCCTAGATATGTTCTAGGATCTTGACCGATGCCGCCCTGAGATTGGCAATCGTTGGGTGCGTTCTTTTATTCTTTCGCGTAACTCCGCGCGAGCGACATACATTTAAAAATTCCTACGGAACGCGTTTCTAAATTCCGGTCGGAGTGCGCGCCGTCGAACGGCAAAAATGGCCGCTTGTAGCAGTAGTTTGCAGTGGAAAGCAACATGGCGTCCTCCATGGATCAGATAGTTTCGTTTCGGGGTCCATTATGTGGTTTTATGAATGAGCATTTAGAAGTTGTGAAAGCGCAAGTTAGTGCACGCGGTGATGTAAGTGTCTTTTCGAATTTTTTTCGGATGGTAGCCGGCATTCCAGTAGCGTAGCGTAGTGGGAGCGGCAGGGACGGCCCGCCCCAGGCGGCACTTTTTAGGGGGCGACAAAATTTCACAATAAATAATAATAATATAAGAATTTGAACCATTTTATTTCATATTTTCGTCCATCTACGACTCGGACCGATTGAAATGAGCACGGAATAGTGTTACCACCCATCCGGATAGTCCGGAATCGACTCGCCGTCCGAGGATATCTTGCGCAACCTGTTTACCTTTTTTTCGCTTGTACGATTTATTGTATATGTATCCAATATCCAATAGAGCTAGGTCACTTGCGTTACTCCTATCCAAGTCTCCCTAATCGCTAACTGTAACTGATGTAGAACCAGCATGCACTTTACTTTACTTTATTTAAAGAATAGAAGAGCTGTCTGTCATTTAGCGGCAGACTTTGCTCTATAGAGATGGAAGGAGAAGGTAAGGAAAAAGAGACCGAATGTGAAATAACAGGAGATAGGGGAGTGTGAAGGAAGACATGGAGAAGGAGAGGTGGGGGAAGAAGCGGGGATTGTTAGAGAGTATAAAGTTTAGAGAGGAAGGTAAATTTGCGATCATACAGACGACTTATACCATATTTGTTTAGAATACAAATAGATATACAGAGCAGAGCGCCGTTTTGGCGGCCGATGATAACAATATACATACTGATAGATATGGTACATGTTGTACACTGATGGAACAGATGTAGATATACAAACCAGACGAGTAGAGATGTGCAAAGAGAATCCCGATGGGGGGGTCCGGTAAAATGGTATTGGACAAGCCAAACAAACAAACAACTTTAACCATTAACTAGATAGAATACCCTACAGCTGTTAGACACAATTCCAATAACACAGTCACAGGACGGCTAGAGCCACATGTGGTGGATTAGGGATGAACAACAGACCGAAGAGATTGAGAACACAGTAGAGGGCCCCTGCTAGGGGTGGACGGGTGGGTGACCCGGTAAGTGCTACAGTTGTTCACAAAGTTTTTGAGATGGTTAAAGGCGCCAACATTGCTGCATAGAAAGTCTAAGTTGGGGGGCCAATTTTGCCCATTAGTTAGGCAGAAGCCCATGAGCCCTTGGCGCTCCATATCGTGGTGAGGACAGTCTAGGAGAGTGTGCAGGGCGTCCCCAATAACAGTCATTGCAGTCACATTTGTCGTCTTCTCTTTTGCCAAACCGAGCGAGGTAGGCTGGGAAATTCCCATGCCCGGTGAGGCACTGCGTAAGATAATAGGAAGGGGTGATGTGCTTTAGGAGTTGACGACTCCTAACAGATGGCAGAAAATTGAAAGTAAGCCTTCCAGTTGTTGAATCTGTCCAATCCTTCTGCCACTCCTCGATGATCTGATTGTATAATAGTTTGTTAATGTAAGTGATGGGGACCTTCCCAAAGGAGGGGGTAACATGGAGGTTGGCAACCTTCCTGGCAAGGGCATCAGCCCTTTCGTTACCAGGAATTCCGCTGTGCCCGGGGGCCCAGACGAATTTGATTTTCCTACGTTTTTGTAGGTTAGTCGCTAGGTAGTAGACATTTGTGCCAGTGGAGGAGCGTTTGGCGGTACCAGCAATGACAC